TGTAGTATATTCCTCCGTAGTAAACCAAAAACACAGACATCTGTTTCATGTCTGGACCAACTACAATGATCAATGGATGTTGGGTTTGATCACAACGCATATAACGTTGGTTTAATCTATTGATTTCAGTTTCCAAAACCTCCAATCCTTGAATCCATAGTATAAAACTTTCACGCACGTCCATATACGTTGGCCTCCATTTCTTATGCTCCCGAGATGTCAACATAGGGCATGGCAATAAATAGGCGAGCAAGCTTGTGGTTAACCAGTCACAGGAATCTACAATTCATATAAAAAAATATAATCAGAAATGCACTGGTTTTAAAATGTCGATTTACCTTCACTCAATGAGCTGTCATCAAGAAGAGTCAAAATGGATTTTGCTGTAGGATCAGTTATGTCGGTGTTCAAAATGGATTTGATGCCTGTTCGAAAGTTGTTTCAACGTTCGTAGAGCAAATTGTGCTTGCTTGGAAACTTTGATTTGAAATCAATTTGTATGAGCTGGTAACCATCTGGTCTTCGTAGCGTTGGGAAGGCATCAAGAATTTCTTCACACGATCGATTTTTATGCTTCGAAATTTCGAGTAGACGAAAAGCGCTTGTAGCAGCCCATTTTTCCTTCACGGTTGTCCACTCATCCTCATGATGACGAATCCAGGTTTTTACTTGCTCGTACTCTGAAACTGATAAAAATGTAATGAAATTCCAGCTAGGTCCTAATGAAGGTAATATCAACTGACTTTTATGATATTGTGAAATTGTCTACTGAAACATGACTAAAAAAAACAGGATAGCAAGCATATAGATATATAGGGGCGATTGAAATATGATATCCAAAAGATTTATTTTTTTAGCCCCCTGCCTTCCCCTTGTGTCTTGACTTTTTCACGTACCTATTACACGTTATATCACAAATTCCTTCCCCCTCCTCAATAGTGGATCATATTTGAATCACCCTTTATATATATATATATATATATATATATATATATTTTTTTTTTTTTTTTTTTTTTTCACCACATAGTTTGAGAAGATAATATTTAGTTTGTTTTTATAACGAATAGCATTTTAAACAAAAGAGAAAATCTTTGAACGGAAACGATCAATCAACTTAAGGACTTATTTTGAATTTTTTCGGTTTGAAAATTATTACTATAACTTACGTGCTGCTTCGGAAAGAAGGTCTTCTTCGTGAGGTTGTTCCGGGGTATGTTGATGAATTTTTTTTTCACTGTGGTTTTCGGGTTTATAATTGGAGTTCCTGTCGTGAAGGCAACCTCGTGCCAGCCTGCCCAATTTGATTTTTTTATTCCCTTTAATTTCCACAGATGGCTGATACCAGGTATACTGAGAAACGTGATAGAAAGTCAGATTTCAAGGAGTTTGTACTAGGGTTTGTATATTTTCAAGTCTCTTAAGATCTCACTTAAGATGGCAGGGGGCATTCAATAAGTACGTCATGCTCAAAGGGGGAAGGAGGATTAGAAATCTGAGACGAGAAAAGTATAAAGTACCGCGGATCCCCGATAATCTGACTGTTTTTAATATGAACACTTTTTAATTTAAACCCGTCTAAAAATGGTTCAAGCATTTATTATCTCATGGAACGGAGTTAAGCAAAATGGAACATTGTTAAACGAAACATAGAATAAAAACACCGGAGGCGAACCAACCCCAGGCTGAAAGCCTCCGTAATAAAACAAACCTAGCCTAACCTAGAATAAAAACAAAACTGCAAACATGACTACCAGAAACATGATTTTCTTATGATCATAGGGTTACTAGAAGTTCAAATTAAGAATGAACCCCGTTAATATGAATGAATTGTAGTTCAGATTAGCGGGGTTCCTCTGTATAGGCAAAATATGGCAAAAGAGGTTGGGTAATTTTCTATCATGTTCACACGACGTACTAAATGAATACTCCCAGAGCAGGTTTTAGTAATTCAAAACTTACCTCTGACTCTGAAGGAAACAGTTGTTTGAGCTCTGCTGCTCTAAGATTCAATTCGTTCCGAGTGAGTTTTCCGAAAACGTCTTTAAACTCGTCAACGACAATATGCGTTATTGCTTTTCTTTGAATTTTTGTCAACACGTGCCTATTCTGGTAGCTTTCTATAATCAACCTTCCTTTCGTCGATGATTGTATCAGAAATTTAGCAGTACAATCTTCACGTTTGATTTTTGCCAACCAACTTTCTGTTTTGTGCGAATTTTCGATAGCTGACAGCGGTGCTGATACTGCAGGAAGACCCTGTGGATAGTGTTTGATTGTTATTTTATACAGATTTATTTTTAAGGTTTACCGTGGATCCCCGGTGATCTAACCGTTTTTAAACTGAACACTTTTTAGTTTAAACCCCACTAATATGCACGCCGTGCAAACTAAAAATTGCTCAAAAGTAATATAGCACATGGAATGGATAAAAGCGAAATGGAACGCAGCGAACGTTAAAGCGCAGAAACTGAGGAGTAGCAATTTCATGTTTGTGTGTTTTATGGAAGCTAACATTTGTGCTTTTGAAGTTTCACGCCAAGGCTTCCTCAGAGTGTCACCTTAATAGGATCAGGTTTAAGATCATAAGATCGCTGAAAAACTAAATTCTTTGCTTACCTGTGCTTGTCTCCAATTATTGAGTCCAATCATAAGCTTTGTCCGTTCAGCTAGATGGGGAGGACCAATCAAGTCTTCGATCTCTCGTCTCTCGATTCCCTTCAGCAGCTCCACGGTGTATCCGTTTTCTGGAATTGTGGAAAATATTAATGACAATGCTATGTTCAAACTGGAAACATATAACATGTTATAAGGCGTGTCATGGTGACATTTTTCTAGTCAATGATTATTATAAAATGTTGTTAGAACTCTGTAGTCTGAACAAGACATAATGCCTTGTTCAGACAGCAGAGTTATAACTTGTTTCTATAACTATCAACAAGAAAAATTTCATCTAGATAGCTTTAAAACATGTTTTACCTCTCCAGAACGTTGCGTAAGACTAATAAACTACAACAATAAAAAATAAGAGTACCCAAGAACGAGGAAATACTATGATCTGACAATCCAAATGTAAGCAGCAGATCAACAACTTCTGCGTTTTCACCTTCGAGCGTTTCATAAGTGACTTCCTCGACTTCGTCTTTGAAATCCATCTGCGATATTGTTACGAATTCAGAAAAGTTAATTAACAAAAAAGCAGGAGTAAAACGTTTCTAAAACATAATTCCCAGTAACCGCTCACCGCACAGCATTGGCAACACGATATAGGAATGCATGAATACATTGCTGGAACTAGGTGATAAGATCAGTAAATCCTTCACAGGATCCTTGCTTAATCTACCCTAATGAAATTTTACATTAGCCTAACGGAAGGGAGTACTACAGTACCACATTTTTACCAGAAATTGATTTACCTGCCTTCTACAGCATAGGTTCTCCCTCGGGTTCTCCACTATCCAAGGGTGAACGATCATCTCTTGAAGTGTGCGGAAGCATATTGACTTGCTCGAATACCATCAAGGTGGATTCCGATCCGTATTAATGAAGCAATCGGTTACATGCGGTTTTCCCAGCCAGCGATCAATCGGTCATTGAAACGGATCTTTTGAAGGAATCCATCTTGATGGTAGTCGAGCAAGTTGATATTTTTCCACACACGGTAAAGGGTGATTTTTCACCCTTGGATAGCGAGAAAAAAAAGATCTGCATCTATGTTCCAGTTAGATTAAACCGGTGAAATGTCATTTTGTCTTATACCAGCCTCTTGTTACGTTTAGTGTAGAAAGAAAAAGGAAGATCCGGATCAGATTCAGAATCCAGAATCCATTTCGCATTTTCGTTTTTCTTTCGACGTTTTATCAAACTAGAACTATTTGTTTCTTACCGTGATGTGATTCCGGATCCTGAACTTCTAATTTACCACTAATACAGACCGTTTTTTGATCCGAAAAATATCTGGAGCGGCTGGAGTTAACGCACTTTTCTGCCGAATGTAAACAAGAGGAAGAAGGCAGGACACACTAAGAATCGTTTACTCGGATTTATGAGTTGGTTTACTTATTTTTGAGTTCGTAGAACTGAACCTCAAAAGTAGATCAAATTTGCTAAGAATTATTGGTAAAATTTATCTGAAAATGAGTAAAATTAATAAATAAAAAGTTAAAATTTATTTATATTTGTTAACGTGTAGTTCACTTATATTATGAGTTTGTGCAGTTTGTCCAACTATTGATAAACTTTACTCATATTTATGGTTGTAGTTCTTAGCGTGTAGCACAACAAATTACCGCGAGTACTCCTGACAAAAGTGTTGTTAAAAGTCAATACGTATATTTTTGATTCAAAAATATTATCCGTTGGAACGACAATAGATATTTTTGAATAAACAATCAAATATGATTGAACTATATATTGTTGAAGTAAACATGCTTTTTAATTTAATACAAACATATTTATTTTTGTTTTAAACATTTTTTCAATTTACTTTGAATAATTTATATGTTTAGAGAACAAACATTTATATTTTTGATTTAAATGCACAAAATTTGGTTCCGTGTATGATTATCTTAAATAAATGAAAGTGAATTTGGATGGATGTTTTTGTATGACATACAATGATAGAAGAGCAACAGTTTGTATCGCTTAACTCGGTTTGTTTACATTTGTTATTATCGTTTCAGTAGAAAACCGGAAAATCCCACACGCGCCAATTGAATTTACTCTCGTTCTGTACGTTAAACATAACGTCGGACATAGTGCGCTGTATTCACACAATGATGCGCTATTCAGCGCACTATGTCCGACGTTATGATTAACGTACAGAACGAGGGTAAAATCGAATGTCGTGTGTGGGATTTTCCGATGTCCAACTTGAACGACAATACATTGGTCGATTTGAAAAGTGACGCGAGAAATCTCCTCGTGTAGAGATTAGTTTTTGTTCCTGTCAGCTGAGTTCTGTCACTTCTAGAACTGTCACGTTCACGAGCAATCGATTTTTCCTTTTTCACCCATCCTCTTGTTCTGTGCGTTCGCGGTCGCATGCATGTGTTTTTCGTGTCGCGAAGTGCGGTGAAAATCTCGAGATAAAAGTGTTTTTTTCCGTGGGAACCTCAATGTAAACCGAACGAAACCGGCTAGAATCTTTTCGGTGCCAGCAAAACACTGAATTTTTCTTGGAACTTCGCAACGGAAGTGTGCATTTTGAACTTTGAGTTTATAATTTCTGCTTTAAACTTTCCAACTACGCGGCGCAGCAAGCTCTGTGTGAATGGATTCCGATCCCGAGGTCGTGCTGGTGGATAAAGTGGACGAGGACGAAATTTCAACCGATAAGGACAGCGGAATGGAATCGGCTAGCAACAGCAAAGATGACACACCGGAACGCAAAACGGCTACGGTGAGAATCGTGAAAGCGTAAATTTAGGAGGGTTTTGTTCGACGTGAAGTTGAAAACATGATTAACCGATGAAGAACTGAATCGATCGATTCCAGTGTTGAGATTTTTTTTTACTAGACTGGTGCGTGATTATGCAATGGAATGAATGGGTCATTTTGTGTGTTTTCAGTTAGAGGAGTTGTTGCAGGAAGATGCGGAGGAGGAAACTGCTCCAGCTCCGAGTGCACCAGTTGCAGCACCAGAACCAGCCCCCGCCCCAGCCCCAACACCAGCAGCAGCAGCAGCACCAAAGCCCCAACCGGCAGCTAGTACAACCTCAAAGGCCACGGCACCAGCTGCTATCAAAAGCAAGGACGACGATTTCGATGACGTAAGTACTAACATCGTCTTTTTTTTATCTTTTGTCGCATTCGCTCGCATTGCTTTCTTTCGGGTATCGTCACGATGTTTGGGTGTGCTAATTTCTTGGGGTGTTTTCTTTTACCACACATCGACTGAACGATGACGAAATTAGGATTCAATTGTAATTTCTCTTGAAATATGTTTCCTAACGTTATATGGAAGTTGCAGAGAATATAAGACACTTATGCATCCACCGGCAGTGCATACAGTATTAGGAAAAACGTAACGAAAGGAGGAATTAATCCTGAATTTCCATCACCATAAGAGGTGGCGATATTTGAGCGTTTATCGATTCACTTGTTTGGAGATCAGCTTGCATGCAACTTGCACCACTAATTTTAATCATAGTAGTACGCCTGACAAAATGTTGCTACCCTGGCAAACTGAAATTTAAACAAACAACTCAAATTGTCTCCAAAAGCACTCTGAATTATAGTCGGCTATATAGCGACTTTACTCTGAATGTCCATTATGTGATGCAGTGTTTCTTAGAATAAATTCTAACATTCTCATATCTGTGGAATATGTGGAAACTTGTATGTAAATGTTGGTGCAAGGCAAGAAACTTTTATTTTTATAGTTGGTTGGAAATGCTAACATGAAGCTTTAGTGTGATAATTTATTAGCTAGAATGATCTTTAGAAAAGGGTAGGTGGATAGTTCCGTTAGAGTACGGCAGTATGAAAATTGAATAGAAGTTGAAAATGAGCGAAGGGCCATTAATGCGACAGTACAAAGTCAAACGCACACCTTTTGCCTAACCCAATAAATTATCACACTAAAGCTTCATGTTAGCATTTCCAACCAACTCTGAAAATCGCAAACTTCGCGTATGAAGTGACATAAAAACACTTTGAATGTTTTATTTTTATAATTTTATCGTGTATTCCAGCATCTACTTTCTTCAGAGAAGTTATTCTATACTGCCTATAATCGCATATCAGGCCCTTATTACGGGTGTCACTTCACGGTGAAAACGAAGTGAAGTGACCAGTTGTCACTCACGGTGAAGTGGTTGCCGTGTAAATCAAATGGGAATCACTTCACCGTGAAGTGACAACGGTAATAAGGGGAGGCCCTTATGGTCCGATATGGATTTTCGTTATTTTTAATATAATAACGGAAAACAAATCAAGGAAAAAAGTTATCTGTCTTATAACGAATATACGTTGTATACGAGTACCCCGAATACAACGTATGTCTCGTCTAATTTTGCATAGCATTTGCAATGTAAAATTAGGCGAATTATTATACGTTGTATTCGGGGTACTCGTATACAACGTATATTCGTTATAAGTCAGGTAACACAGTAGTGATTGCAATCAAGCACGTGAATGGTTAATTACGGTCAATAAGTTTGTTAAATTTTCAATAGTTTACCAATGATCAACTGCCCTCCCCGTGGCTAGTTTTTTAACCTGGACGTTGGTGGGTGGGCCTAATCTTATGCTTCATAGTGGAGCGTTGGAGACGGTTGGTTTAGGTCCGGCATCGTTGGCTCATGCCGTGACAGAATAGCGTCATGAGCATGCGATGAGGATTACTGAGCTTCCCCTCTCTGATGAACCATTGCATAAGAGAACCAAAGTTCTAGCCTGAAGTGATAGTATCACACTTGTTACTCCTTTATTTGAAAGCCGCGTTGTAGTACGCTTACGTATAGGCACTGACGTTGGGTGCTATACTGGCGGGTTTTGCCGAAAATCACTCTTATTTTATTTATTTTTACGCAGATAGATTTATTTGGGTTTGCAAGGGAATTATACTATTGAAATATTTCAGAAAGTGCCCATTGGTGCTCCTTCTATTTGCGTGACAAGCTTTCATTGTTGTTTTCATTGAAGTATTACTCAGGAAACAATGTTCAACATCATTTTTGTACATGGTATTGCAACTAATCTTATATGTGCTTCATTTTGATTTGGGATAAGTGTTTGAACTATGGCTCGGGATTTCCACTGTGGCGTGCTTCTATTGTGACATATCCATACGTATTTTTGTGGTGCGACATAGTGGAAACGTGTGAGCGTAGTTGAAGCATTTACCCTATGTAATTTAAAAATCAGCTAGAAAACTAACTTCAAAGTGAAGCATTTTAGTCACTTAAAGGTGTCACCTGGGACGAACTAATATATATTAAATATAGGTCAAAGTCAAAAACAACTTGAAACACGTTAAATGTTGGATTACATTCACAAGTGCAGGTATTTAATAAAGCATGGTAGGTAGATTAGAGATTTCAATTATTTATTAAATTAGGCTAATGAGATATCATAATCATCAAACGAACTTAAATAAGAAAATTTAGACAGCCTAGTAGCATTAAGTGGATTAACAGAAGAGTTAGCAACTGGCAACTAGCCTTTTCATGTATTGTTTGTTTATTTTGATTATTGCTTTAAAATATCAATTTGGTATATATGTGAAAGGATGAATCAGTGGGAGATGAGTTTTCGGTTTCTTTACATTTAGCATCACTATGTGTCATTTCCTCAAAACCCCCCAATAACCGGCCTCTTCGATCCCTTCCTTTTCCCATGGTGTTCAAGTGGTCCGCATAGACTATTCAGCCATTACCCGTCCTTTATCCTCGGCTTTGGATTGACTTGCGCTCCCATTGCCCCACCAAACGCTGCAAAATGAAATAGTTTACCAATGGTCAACTGTTATAATATTTATACCAAATGAATCTTACATCAAATTTGAATCAAATTCTGTGATAAGCATTGAAATCCATACATCCGCCAAGCTATAAGCGCTTAAAATCTGACACTATTTCGTTGCAAATTTTTTTGATTTGTACACCGGAGAAAGTTTTCATATAGTTTCCATTGGGAATGCACATGATATTTTTCCAATAACAAAATTAATGATTTTTATCTGAAATTCACATAACATTCATATGATCACATGAATTCTATGTGATAAACCACATAAATTTCATTGTACACATAAGGTTCATGTGATTTTGTAGTGCGATTCCCAATTAATCATGTTTTGTTATTTTTGACATCATCCACATCCAGAGGGCCAGTCACTTCGAATGTATGGGAATGGTAGGAAACCATTTGGAAATGCATGAAAATTTTCAGTTTTTATTCATTATCATCTTTATGGGCAGTTTTAGGTGCACAAAAATTGCACGAGTACATTACTATGGTGATAAGGTAAACACTCGTTTATTTGTTTTCTTCTGTGAAAGCATGTGTAGTCACAAATCGTGGATTTTCTGATATTCTCCATGCTGCAAAAATGATTTTCCTACCACTGAAGGGGCGACATCTCTCGGATCTTCAGTATAGCTACTACTCAAATCATATAATTAATTATGAGATCACATGAAAGTTATGTGAAATTCTAATGGATATTTTCCATTGGAAATGTGATTTATTTTTTGAGTGTAGTATATTCCACGCAGACGTAGTCCAACGTCATAAAAAACCCCACTTTTTGAAATTTTGAGATAAATTTGACAGTGTGTAATAATTATATCGTAAACTCGCAAAGGCAGCTTTGGTCTTCTTGGTTCCGCCTTCGGGCGCTGCCAAGACCAGTCTTGTAAGCGGTCACCGTTGTCGCCACATTTTCTGTGATAATCGACTGTCTTTGCTTCCGACACTTGCAAAACAAGCTGTCAAATTACAGTACCAAACTAAAATGCCATATGACAGGCTCTGTCATACGACACTGTCGCCGAAGACCGTCGCGAATGTATGTATTTTGGTTTTCCTCATAATAAAAGCTGCTGACGTTGTGCTTGTGTGAATTCTGAAAATAGAATGCAACGATGTCCTAGTAATAACATTTATGATCAGAAATGGTTTAATTTACACCAAATTGAGGAATTAGAACGAAATAACACATGTCATATGATAGTTTTTTTTTGCTTTATTATAGACTTTCAGCCTTTAGCTGGTTCGTCTCTTTGAAGGATTAGGGCTCCTGAGGGGGTCCCGGAGAGAGCAAATAAATAAATTACATAGTTTAAGTATCACAGAGTTCTGTGTCGATTGTATTAACAATAAGGAAGGTGAACGAAATTCAAGAGCCACATGTGAAAAGGGCATACAAGCTTTTTGTAAACAAACCTTTGTAGACCCTTTTCTTGCCAACCGAGTGTCGCTCACGCAAACCAGCAATATCATCGGGAAGGGGAAAGTGTCCCCTACACGGTGATGTTAAAAGTTTCCGTTGGTGTCATATGGGTGACGAGAAAAGGGCATAAGAAGGTTTGTTTACAAAAAGCTTATATGCCCTTTTCACATGTTGTTCTGGAATTGTGGTTAATTTCCGAGAGAGAGAGAGAGAGAGAGAGAGAGAGAGTCAATGTCCGTAGCCTGCGGGGTTTTCATCGTTGTTCTTCCGTTTGACATATCATTTAGAGAGCTGGTGCTGGTGTTGTCCAAGTGCCGTCGTTCGTCCGTTGTCGTGTCATTGTTCGTATATTGATAATAGCCTGTGTCTTTAAGGAAGTCGAGAAGTGATCTTTCCCTGTCTGGGTCATTGGATAATGCGTCTCTGATGCTGAGACCGATACCGTATTGGTCTCGGAGGTTTTGATGTGCAGGGCAATTTATTATGAGATGCTCAACTGACATTTTGGATATGATAGTTATTTGACAGACAAACAGACGATGTTTTACAGTGAGAAATATGCAATGTGTTATGTCTGTTTGTCTGTGGTTATTTGATAACTTTCTTTTGCTCGAATGTTGTTCTACCGTTTGTGTTGTGTAAGGCTGTGCATCATTTGCCGAGTTAAATTTAACTCGTGGTTAAAAGTGACATTTCGAAAGTTATTTTCTATGTTCGAAAATCCCCGTGCTGTCGATCGACCGGTTTTCAACCCACGGTTGTCAAAATTTAACTTCTTGTCTGTCAGAAATAACCATGCTTGGATAGCAGCACAGAACAGAAGGGGATGTGCAAACAAATCGGTGAATCAAAAATGGTTCGTTTTTCTGCTCAACAAGCTATGTGTTGTGGTAGCGTTCCACACGGGCTTTCTATGTGCACTCACACTATCTTAGCATGCTGCCTATCTTAACTGCAGGCAGAAGATGCCTTCTACCCAGAGTTAATGTACACGTACATCCATCCCGCGTGATAGAGACGCGCTTTCTATAAGATCGTAGGTGCCTGGTACATTTCGAGACGTATTATTTTGCGTTTCTTTTTTGTTCCTACGTGCTTCATTCGTGTCACATGTGCTGTGTCTCATGAGCTAAGCTCGGCGAGCTCCAGGGAGATCGGCAGCGTACCTACGTCCTGCGTGCATGCTAAAAGTGGCTGGTTGGTGATAAAAAACAGCAGAGAACTGTTGTAGTCCTGTCACATTCTCGTGATGCTGGTACAACTGATTGATTTCAATCAGTTGGTATTCAGTTTTTGAGGGTTGAGAGATTGTGGTTTTATAGGAGTATTTCAAGTGGAAGATGAGTTAAACGATTACGAACCAATTACCGGCGGGGTTATTTCTTACCGATCCATGCGCATGGAATTTTCATGGTTCAAAATATTGATTTAGCTCCACCAAGTTCAAACGATTGATCATTCTCACAAAATTTGTTCTCATCAGGATGCGAACTCATATTGCACTTGGCCCTTTGAAGTTTATGTGGGAATTGAAAAATTGAACGCTAGGAAAATTAGTTATTTATTTATTAGGAAGATGATGTTCTTCTGACATGGTTCATTTACTACTCAGCAGACAACATTGGAATAATAAGACAAAAAATCGAGGCTATCATGTCATAAGAAAGAAAGAAGCAAGAAAGCTCTGCGGACCCGAAGGACTAAACAAATATTACAATGGAGATCTAAATCGATTTCCTATATTTTTTTTGTACTTGCAACGCATCGAATCTCCGAAAAACCCTTTCTGCCGAGGATGCTGATGTTCGTTTTTGCATGCTTTATCGGCCTCCTGAGGACACGTCCATTATCACCACCTCTTCATGCAGCACCTCTACCACTTCCTTTGTTGATTTGCTGGTGCTGTCTGACAATGCACCTACAGCCACTACACCAAGGTACGAACTGCTATCCGAGTTGCAAAGAATTTTGTAGTGCTTCAAGAAACTTCGTGGTACTTCAGAGAACTTTTTAAAAGTTCAGGAAAGTTTCTTGAAGTGCAGATTTTTCTTTAAAGTTCAGCTAACTTTGTAGAGTTTCATCGAACTGCTTCGATAACTCTTCTTCTACGTACCTGAAAAAGTTATAAGACACGATACTTCATACACCTAGTTGATTAGTAACACTTATGCTTCGTTTGACTCTAATGTTCCGTTAACTGTTTTCACAAGAATACTGTCTTGATTTTGAATGTTTCTTTGGTATTATTATCATATTTTGTTTTATGCATTAAGACTAACATATGTCAGATGAATCATTAGCTAAATTTAGTGAAATTATTTAAAGTTCTGAGATCATGGAAAATTTCAGAAAACTTCGTAGAATTGGGAACTTTATACAAGTTTAGGTATCTTCGTAGAAGTTTTTTTTGTTTAATGTCAGGGAACCTCTTTATTATTCAGGGACCTTTTTTTTATAACTTCAGAGCTTTGATGAACCCTCATGGACTTGAAATAGTTCAGAGAATTCCGTACAAATTCAGGAAAATTCGTGCCTCGAACTTTGCGGAAAATCAACGAGAAACGTAAACGTGAAGCAAGCTTTGATGAAGTTTTGTGGACTGCGTAATAATTCGAGGAACTGCGTATAACTTCATAGAAGTACAGGGCATTTTGAAAAAGTTCAGGGAATTCCGTAAAGATAGAAAACCTCAGGGATCTTCGTTTCAGTTTAGGGAACTTCATAGCAGTTTGTCAGAGATCTTAAAAATCTCAATAAAGTTGAAGGTTTTGGAACATCGTTTAATTTCAAGGTACTTCGAAATTTGAGTAAATTTTTTAAAAGTTAAGGAAATTTTGTAGATGTTCAGGAAACGTTGCATAAGTAACAGGATATTCTTTCAGATATGCTCCCTACCCGAGCAAAGCTAAAGATCAAATTGAAATCAAAATTTGCTGTTATGATGTAACTTATTTTTAATACTCCAGTTGATCTCATTTTGGTTGACTTAACGGTTAACACAGAAAAAATGAGAGCACAATGTTACACTGTTGAATCAAACGGAAAATTAATCCTGCTATCAATTAAATCAATTTGATTACTGATTTTACTTTCATGTTGTTTAACTGTATACGGGCCTGGTGTAAATGGTTAGCATCCATGCTTCTCACACTGAAAGACTTGAGCTCAAATCTCATCCCGGGCAAAACACTAACGACCTAAAATGTGTTATACAAAATAAATAAACAATAATGGTTAGTTCAACAACAGATGAACTTAAATTAAATTTTAAACAAGACGTTAACAGCAGAACTTCAAGTTAAGTTGTTTTTATTTAAAAAGTCTTGACTGTATAATGAAAGCACAATATGATATCAGACGTCTGTCGCGGAAATTGAAATCAAAATTAGTTTTCATTATGATGGGAACTGCAAACTTTAATATCGATTTGCTTTCATTTTGTTAACAGACTTTGCTCGGGTAGACAGTCAGGAAGTTTTAAAAGATCAGCATTTGCTGATGTTCTTCTGATCTGAATTAGTGAGTTGCTAAAAAAAGGATGACTTAAGAATGTGCTTAAGTTTTTGAATATCATAACTTTTCAAATGGATAGATCAACTTTCAACACGGTATTTTTCAAATTTAAACCATACACTCTGGCAACATGGTGATTTGATTGGTTGATCTGTTGCAGGTTGTAGCAATGGCTGTACCACTTTCTGGTTTGTTGTAGCTAGATGGTGGCGCTTGGTGGTCACTTTGTGGAATTGGTGCCGATACTCAGGTGCTTCCTTCTGACACTGTTGGTATACAAAGGCAAGGTCGCCCATTACCTAACCGAAAAGGTTATTTCTTCTTAGCGATAACGGACATCGACGCGAAAACGATGCCATCGAAACACGCAGAAGCCACCTAGATCGTACCGTGCCAACCAGAAAGCGATTTGAAGGAACGGAACAGAAGGTCGGTAGACTTGGTGATATTAAGAATTGGAATGGTAAATATATCACTGCACTGGTCTACACGCTCACCTGAGTTAAAGAAAACGATGCCCGCTCATGTCACTATTTTGCTGCAGCTATTTAGCATAGACCGCGCCATAACTCAGTGGTTACCGCTTCTGTTATAGAATTTATCTGAATGCTCGATCACATGAGGCACATTAAAAAAATCTGAACATTTTTAAAGTAATGGTAACAAAGTACAAGTGAAAGCGTAAAGGTAATACGCCAAGAAAAAAATGTTCTGCAAAAAATTCTTCCACCCATTGAATTATCATACCATTGCTGCATTCGTAGCATTTCGATATAATCTATCTACGTATTTTAAACATCCCATCTAACAATATATTGTGTTGCCGATGAATGGTTAAATTACGTTGAAAATGTGTGAACGTCTTGCAACGGGTAAATCCCCGTACTAAACAAATTTTTGTCCATTTTATATTTTGAAAATAACGTGTCAAAAGATGTTAGTCATGCAAGTGCAGTTAAGTGTTGAACCGGAAAAAAAATAAACAAAGAATATTCTAATTGACCGGCAAATTAATAGCTTTTGCTATTAGAGAATTTACAAGAATTTAAGCACTGCAAATATATGCTACCTTTCCTCTAAAATAGAAATGGTTTGTGCAAACGCAAATGAAATGTCGGTCAAAGCAACCAAGTTTCAACAGCCTGTATTTTGCTTACCTACACTTTCCAGAACTTCGAGCTCTACAGTTCTAGCATTAATCGTAGCACATGAGATGAGGCACATGAGATCAGCGCGAGCCTTTGTTTCTCGCTCGTATCTTATTCTCGCGTGTCTCTTTCTCGCTCGTCACATGTTGTTTTCGTTGCGACGGGAGACGGTTTGTTGAGAGTCTCGGCAGCACATTTTTGCACACACGAGGAAAATGTAACTCTAAGTTACCGCTAGGTTCGCTAGTGTTCGCAAATGACAAGTGGAGCCACTTTCTGATCCGAAGTTCCACTCCTGTGATAGCAGGGTTCATCGATAACTTTCCATCTGTCAAATTTTAACCAAAAGTTAAAATAATCCACCAAATTGTTCAGAGCCTATGAGAGACGACGGTAGAGCATGAGAGTACGAAAAGACGCACGACAACGAAGCGAGTGTAGTAAAAAACGTCAACCATTTCAACCCCTGTCCTAGACATTGGAAAGATTCAAATTGGCCAGCTACCGTAATGTTGGAACCGTGTTTTTAACAGCTACAAGTGCTATTTTCCCCAGAACACGACTGTTATACCAAATGACCGTTATGACAACGGCATAACGCGTTAGACCCATCAACATCCCTACAAGACCCCATTAACAGTACACACTCATATAAGGTTCCTAGGTTCAATTCTTTTTTTAACGGGTTTCTTTCCTTCCCATTTTTATTCCAGGAGCCGGACGAGACGTTGACCGAGCGCCTGTGGGGCCTCACCGAGATGTTCCCGGAGGGAGTGCGAACCGTTAGCGGTGCCGTGACGGACTTGTCCGTTGCCAGCGTCAAAACCCTGTACAAGTTCACCTGCAATGCGTCGTGGATCTTCTTCACCAGCTCGATGATCCTGTTCGCTCCGGTCGTGTTCGAGGTGGAACGGGCCCAGATGGAGGAGATGCAAAAGTCACAACAGAAGCAGGTCCTGCTGGGTCCCGGATCAGCCGTAGGAGGTGGCCCCGGTGGTATGCCAGCGATGCCTCCGATGGCGGCCCGATAATCTTCTCTCCCGATAAATTAAGCAGTGACGTAAACAAACAAACAACTACATCTAGACTTACAATATTGCAATTTGATGGTAGCCAGTAGAGGGAACCGAGTCAAACTAAGGTTGGAACATTGCTAGGAAATAGGGAGAGCTAGTAGAGTTGGATTGCCAATATTCTTGTGTAATGTGTAATTTCGAATAATCAGTCGTAGTCGGGCCACTTCAAGACTATATACAGCTAGGTTCAATAGGTTAGCTTCCGACCGATTTCACAAAGAACCTACCACACAATAATGCATTCATTTGAGCAGATTTGCTCTGCTGTTGCTCCGCGCGAGGTAACAAAGAAGTACGGGCCAATTTCCTGCCTCAGACGAACCGATCAAATGATAACATGTAATGGAAATTTTCTGATTGAATGTTGCTAAGCAGTAGTAGTATCCTAGAGGGTCAAATATAATACAGAATAGAAGATAAACTGTGAAAATGAGTTTTCGATGTTTAGAACGAAAGAAAAGTCCTGTGCTGAGTAGATTTTATTTTTTTTAATTTTACATGGGCAAGTTAAATTCAGTTTGTCATATAAAAAAACAGGTTAAAAACAAACTCCTTTCACGTCAGCCGATAGCTGCGGAAATTTTTGTAGTGCTGCATAATCGACAGCATAAATCCTTCGGTGCTGATAATCTCGATCGTTGAGTAACGTTCGCGAAACTTGGGCCACATATCCTTATCCCGATGATCGGACACGACGAACACTTTGTCTGCTCGCTTCGGTTGCTGCGAGGGGAACTTGATAACTCGACCGCCGGCACTGGTAACAATTACTGGAAAATGGAAAAGCTTAGCATCTTTCTGTGAAACGTAATCAAGGATGGGAAGAAGTGAAAATTACACTGCAGTTCCTCCGGTGGCGGCTTGGTGCTGGCTGTCACAATGACGGAATAATCCTGCAAGAACTTCGATTCCCTGGCCAAGGTGAGGGACTTTTTGAGATTGAATTTGAATCGCCGTTCCATTTCGTGGTCCTGCAGAATGTAGTCCCAGGGGTCGACAAAGTTCTGTTTGGCATCCGTTGCATCCAGGTATGACTGGCCGACGATTGGGATGCCCTTCGCTATGGCACATAGGAATTTGCACGTTCGGTAGACGCGATCGGACACTAGAACCGTCGCCAGCTCCGGAATGTCGACGATGAGGCCTCCTAAGGTTTGAAAAGAGGGGAAGGTGTTACGTTTTAGAGTAGGTAGCGTTCAAGCGTTCGATTTGGGTTTCATTCAAATGGATATGAATATCGCTGTTAAAATTAAAAGTCATCATACTTACCAAGAGAGCGAGCTGTTTCTCTTCGGAAATGTTTTACAAATTACCATAAATTTATTAAAATCATGGAATATTTTGGCGAAAGGGTAGGACGATGAGAACAAAAATTGCACTTTCCCCATAGTAATTCCCATATAAAATTTAAAGGGCCAGTGCAGTATGATTTCGCAACCAAATGACCTAAATTTTTATCAGGACCGGATTTAGAATCGATTGAGCTTGGTGGAGAAAAATCGATATTTTGAACTACCCTAGTGTACATGCTTATCACTTACTTTTTACGTGAAATGACCGTAGCATCAACGAACATGAAAACCACGTAAATTTTATTAAAATTTCATTTTACATTAACGTGAGGCTCGCGGAAATAATTGAAGGGGTTACGTGATTTTTCACGTAGCATTAACTTGATAATTTTAAAAGATGGATTTATCACCCATCCATAGCAACAATCAAATTAATTAAATATATTTAGTTCAACCAAAAAAGAAGCGTTTTGGTTTTAAAATTTCTCTCTCTGCATCATTTTATGTTTTTAAAATGGCCGCGACCTATTAATTCTGATTAAAATGAATGTCTTTTTCTTTAATGTCCTTTTTATTATTCGAGTGAAAAAAGATCCCTAGATTGCAGCCGTTCCGTAATCCAGCGGATCCACATTGTAACCGTCAAAATTAGGATTTGAATTTTGAATGTAGTTTGATGAAGACAGTTCGAAATGACACGAACAATTTGATAGAGCCGTCTAAAAGCGAATATCAACATTTCGAATGTAGGTAGGTAGTATGAGTGAAACAAGAGATTGAGCAATAATTATTATTCTAACGGGTCTCAATAGTAACTGTTTTGTTTACATTCAAATCGTACTCTAGAGCATAGAAGAAGTTCGCGATCGGAAGGAATAAAGCTTCAATTTTGAAATAGCAAAATTTTATGTGTTGATATTCATGTACATTTTATAGTTCTTCGAGCCGGATACAACGTCGAGAAAGTGACTAAAGTGTAGAAAACAAAGAAAGAATCCGGTGTGAAAGTTCTGAGGAACGAAACAGTGGAATAAAGTGCCAGTACCTACATCGGAACACTAAAGAGTGGTGAAATTCCGCAACAATAAAAGCCTATATGATTGTGAAAGGCATTGTGGTTGCGTAATCGAAATACACTTATGAAAGAACGAAGAACTGACCTCAGAACTGACGGAGTGTTGCGAATAAGATATTTCGAATTAAAAATAAAAATAGTAGTATTTTGTAAAGTGAGTAAGAGATTTAGGACCGAACGTTTGCTGATCGGAGCTGCAGGTGAACAAGCATGGATGGCAAAACGCTGGATTACAACAAAACAAGCAATGAGTGACGACCGAGAACAAACAATTTTAAAACTCCAGCAACTAATGCCTCTCAGCCCAAAAGGCCTGGGTTCAATCCCAGTCGGTGCCGCCGGGCATAAAATCTCTGATCACGCCTTTCTTCGGATAGGAAGTAAAGCCGCGTTGGTCCCCGGTTCATGAGTTGATGGGTCGATAGATAGGGTCCAGGTGTCGGTTGGTACTCAGTACGGAAAACAAGATCGACGGAAATATAATCCAGAAGAGCACGAAGGTCAGGTTCAGGATCGGCTACTTTGCCGAAGTTGGAGGATTTCTTCACGCAGTTTTTTGGCGTCGCTGTGGAATTGACATCGTTCTCAACAAAGAAGAATCCGATTTCTACCAAAGAGGAAAGGTACCTGTTCGAGAATTAGTACTATGTTGTGAAGATCGTTCTCCAATCGAAAATATCGACTCCGTCCTCATCATGTTCATCGACAGTCATGAAGCCAGCTGATACTGATAGCCCGTTGGTAAAGTTCAGTGCACGTCCGGAAGATTGGGTCCAGGATAGTTTCGTCGTTGGAGTCGTCAACCGGAAGGATATAGGAAACGTCGATAAGCTGCAATATCTCAAGGGTCTACGCTCATTGGACACATCGAAATCAGCGAGGAGCGTTACCGGACGACATGGAAGCTGCTCACCCCGCGATACGAAAGCAAACGTCGGTTGATTTTCTGTCAATTGCAAGCGCTGTACGATACCTTCGAATTGTTCCAAAAATTAGAACAAAATGTAGGCATCGATTGGATTTGCAGATCCTACACATTGCAAGAAGAATGATCAATATTAAAAACGTTAAAAAAAAAGTTGAAAATAGTTGTTTTTAAATAAACCAGCACTTTACATCTGGTGATGCATTCGTGTCTTTAAAAAAATGTTAGTGTACAGTGTGTTTTATGTGGTGTTAGTGTTAATTGTTAAGTTCACACTTATCTTCTTTACTGCTCCGGTCCAGATTTCGTCACTTCTGGTGTATCTTCTTTTCCTTGCTTCGTTCCACTACATATTTATTACCTACTTCAAATTAAATTCTTTGCACTTTTTGTTTTCTTCTCTATTTCATTCATTTCTTCACCATCATATTATATTCAATTTTCTTCCTCCCTGCCTGCTGCTAATTCCCTTCGTCATCTCATCTTTCTTGCTTCTTGTATTCCCATCCGCTACCATATTCTTTTCCTCTCCGACAGCTTCTGCTTCCCCTCCATCATCTTTTCATTTCCTGCTTCTTGGATTTCCATCCGCTTCAATCTTCTTTTGATACCCGGTTTCACCTTCTTTATCGCCATCTTCTTCGTCCGTGTTTGTGCCTGTATTCACCTTTCTGTCTTTCCCCCCTTTTCGTTTTGCTTCACGCTCTACTTCATCCTCTGCATAACCATCTTCTTCTGCATCTTCGCATCATCTTCATCAGCTTCCATTTTTGCCCTTAGACAGCGGCGAACTCCTTCGTCTTCTTGATTTTTCTTCGTCCTTCGCTTGATCTTCTGCCCCGCTTTCTTCAGCTTGTTCTCCATTCATGTCTTCTTCTGCTCGCACTTTGTATGTTTCTTCTCCATCATCCTCTGTTTTCTTCAGTTGTCCTTAGCGTCCACTGAATCCGCTTCTCTCTTTTCCTCGTTTTCACAATGTTTGATAGATATTAGCTTCATGCAGGAACTTCAGTAACCGCTTTTCACTGTCATCATCGTTGCATAGTGCCTTATAAAGACTACTGTGTTACCTGACTTATATAAACGTTGTATACGAGTACCCCGAATACAACGTATAGTTCGTCTAATTTTTCATTGCAAATGCTATGCAAAATTAGACGAGTCATACGTTGTATTCGGGGTACTCGTATACAACGTATATTCGTTATAAGTCAGGTAACACAGTAGTTGGATCGATCTCATGTTTCGTCCTGACTGCTTAAAATTTCCTACAGTGTTGAATTACGTGCCGGACATCCATAACCGTTCCACAGCATTCGCATGTCGGTGGCGATGATTTCTTTAATAGAAATTCGTGTGTCAGCCTGGTATGGCCGATGCGCAAACGAGTGAGTACTCGCTGGTCGGCAGAAATTTTTCTGATCGATCCAATTTTTCGTGTCACGTTTTATCTCCTTCAGCTTGACTTCTGTAAGTTGCGCCCGATATTGATTGGCGGATTATTTCGTGCTTCTCCGGCGGGTCGGTCCGCTTCTTCGTTGCCACGGATGCCGGCGTGGCCGGGAACCCAACACAAGTGAATCGGACGGTTTCGAAGCAGACATTCAATTGGATCCACGGATGCTGCGATTTGCCACTCTCTTCCTTCCTTCCTCTTTGCTGAAAGACAGCTAGCCGAATCGAACATAATGATCACGTCATTTATTGTACTCGCCTCGTTGGTAGTCGATTTGATCGCATAGGCCTCCGCCGAAAAAAAACACTACATTGTGACGGAAGGCCTTTTGCTCTCTGCACGCTGCCACTACTCCTGCTCCTACTCTGTCTTCACACCTAGAACCGTCGGTATAGATAGTCGTAGCACGGTGAAACCGGTTTTCCAGCAACTGCACTGTATCTGGGGAATCTCCCGCTTTTACCTGTCGTTCCACGTCCCAAACAACGCGTGGCTTGGGAGCATGCCACACTCGATTGGCGAATCTTGTCCGTACAGCGATGGTCGGAAATTTATCAACCGCCACCTGACGATCGGATACACGTTGGAAGACATTTCTGTGATCCTTTTCCAGCAAGCGAATGGCAACTCGAGCTGTAGCTTGATAAACCAGGATATCGAATGGTAATGTGCCCGCTTCAGCCATTATCGCTGGAATTGGGCTGGTGACGTACGCTCCTGAGGCGAACCGGACCATCCTGTTGTAGATGGGTCCTTCGCTCTGCTGACCCGTTGCCGTAACGAATGCGTGACGTAACGATTGCCGATCCTTTGCACAGAAGAGACTCGCGTTGCCCTCGTGGAAGTTTAGCCCCAATCATTTTAAGAATTCGCAGCCTTGAGTCGCATGTAGTTTTCACAGTCTTACAATGCTGTTTGAATGTCAGTGACCGGACGAGGGTGACACCGATGACTTTCCAACGATTCGTTTTCGGTACAACTACACGATCGATGCTGATATTGGTGCTAGGTTCTCGACGGGCGTTGGGACTGCCGTAGAAGATGTTCGATTTCGTAGCTGAAATTTTGAACCCAACGCTCTTCGCCCACTTATCGACAGCTTTGACCTCGGCTTGTAGATCGCGATAGAGCGGTCGCTCCTTATTTCTCCGTACCACCAGCAAAACATCGTCCGCATATAAGAGCACGGTGACAGCAGGCTTGATGGAGCCTCACTCGCGAGTCTAAAATGAGCCGAGCGCTACTCACAAATCATTCTAGTGAGCATCACAGTTTGTGAGCGAAAGGGGACAAAACGAGAGTGAGGTTCGTTGCCATTGATTTTTATGTTTTCTTCCACACGCTCTTACTCTCACCCTGGGTGAACTCTGAGCTTCATGCCTCGAACAAAAAACTATAA